AAAGTCCAGTGTGTAACATTAAGGAGGATCTAATATTCATACGTATGTTTTCATTAGTGTATAATCACGTGGATATAGCAATTGTTATGTTCTTGTTACCTTAGAATGAGCCTTTAATATCTACAGATATAGAGTCCGCCATGTTTCTACAGCAGCCCAGAAGGGACAAACCAAACTTGAAATTCTTTCGAGAGATTTGACAACACTACGATAGATTATAGAATATATTTTCAGTGTATTTTTGTGTCAGACCTTTACTGTTTTTTTACAGGGGGTTGAAACTTAAAACCACATCAGTTTCTACACCAGATTGTTTCTGTCATAAGCATCTGTTCAAAAATGGCTTTTAAGATTAAAAGAACTGGAGGAAATGTCTGCCCAGAGGGAACGACTGAAAAGGCTGATTGCCTTTGAAAACCAGGCTTCACTGTACAAAGTAATGAACTAGTCTGATTGATAGATTTCTTGAAATAAATGTGCAGCTCACCACTGTTAGTCATTTAACATATAACATGTTGATGAAAGCGTTTCCATTTTCTGCTCTAATCATCTGGAAGCTCTTTGACGGCAGCCCCCCCCAGCAGGCAGTAAGTGATGTGTGTTTACCTTCTTGTTTCGTTTGAAAGAAACCGGAGAGGAGTAATTAGCGTGAGCAGAGGAAAGACAGCGTGTGCTGAACAAAGAAAAGAGCGCCACCTTCAGGTGCTCAGGAGACTACCTGCTGTTTGACTGACAGGCGATCTCTGGGGGGGGGGGCAGAGATATCCTTACAGCTCAAGTCCAGTACAAAGGCAGTGGTTTCTACACGGTGACTAGTATGACTGGTGGGTTAAGGCGAGCGGTCAGTAGTGTTTGGCGGCGGCGAGGTCACGTCTGGCCCTTACAGGTGTGCACGTCGACCTGCTGGTGACAGTCTCGGCAGTGCACGGCGCAGCACCAGTGGAACTTGCACTCACACTTGGTGGTCCGGCTGACCCGCGACGTGTCGTAGCCTCGACCGCAGCACATCACCTCACAGCCGTCAACGCCACGAGATGTCCGGTTACAGACCCGCCCCCCAGTCCCCATCGACCCTGAAGAGAGAGAGAGAGAGAGAGGAGCGGAGAGAGAGCACGAGGCACGCACAGGTCAGTGAGAGCAAACATGCTCAGCACTAACTTCGCGGTGCTTCCTTACGCAGGAATCTGATCCTACTAACTTCTAGACCTCAAGACCCACACCCTATTCTTCTATTCTAACTTTCTACTCACATTAGCTTTTCTCTTCCAATCTCTTCCTCAATGACTTTCCTCGTCCTACTGGAAAGCTTCTCTGATATGTTCCAGCAAATTCTGGCCAGCACCAACACACAAATCCTTTCTCTGGGTGCCATGGGCTCAGCGGGGGCGCAGGAAATACGACGGGCTCTCAGTGGGTCCTCTAAGCCTGCTAAAAACCCCAAAATCAAAGATGTGACGCATCCTCAAAAGTTAAGGCCTGCACGAGCTACTGTAGAAACATGGTCGCGTTCAACATGGCGGACATGTAGATAAAACAACGTTGCATTCTACCCCGCGTAAACACCACGCATCCCAAGTACTTGAGTAAAGTAATACATCAACTTAATATATAACTCGCGGTTTACCGACATAACCTGCCCCTCACACATGCTTTTTAGTCTGTCGTGTCGGCCGGGTGCTTGTTTGAACATTTCTGCCTAGGAAGTTTCTGTCCAATACCCGCGCCACATCACAGGACCCGTCATTGTTCATCGGAGTCAACTTTTTCACGACTGACTGGGGCAAAAAAGGAGCTATAATCCTCATAACTCTTATCCCAATCCAATCCGACGCTCAATCCATTTCATCCCATTCTTCTCATCCTCACCAAAAATACAACACAAAGACATTCATACACAAACCACTGTCCCCATACAATGAGATATATAGTTCATTTTACAACATAACAATCACGATTATATATCATAATGCCCATATTAAAACATGATAACATATACTTCAAAAGAGATATAACAATGGAGACCGTTTGGACACCTACACTTGACAATTATTCCAGGCTAAAAAGGTGAAGAAGCGACTCCTGGAATTCTCCGGGATTCTTCAAGAACGTCTTAAAGAAACACTCCGCCGATAGTAAAACACAGTTACTGCAATCGAGCGAATGATGAATGTGGACTTATCAGCCACGGGTCATGGAGCCACAACATGCAGCCAAGTGGCAGACTAGTTCTACTGGTAAACCGACAGCCAACTGGGGAGCGCAGCACGTGCTGGCAAGTACTACAGATGAGCACAGAGGGGGTGAAGTAACGAATGATGAATGCTTGGACGGAGGAGAGATGGAGAGATTGAATGCATAGGACCGTGCCAGCCCCCGCATCCAACTCCTTCCATCAGCTGTTTCATGGTTTACATGGAGACACTCCCATATCCCTCCCCTCCACACACACACACCACACACACACACACACACACACACACACACACACACACACACACAGCACTATCTCAGACTGGCCACACTGATCGTGTACATGCTCACTTTCTCCTGAATCTCTCCTCCAGCCACACACACTTTCTATCTCCACAAACACAGAGGGAACAGCTACACCTTCATTTATAATAAAAGTAAGGGAGCCTGTAATGGTCATAGTTGTGGTTATTTTACTGATCAATGATCAGAATTATGTCAATATAAGCTCTGTTTTCATCTAAACGCAAACCCAACTTGTCTTATTTGGGATTTTTATATAAAAACTGAGCTGAAACAATAAAGGCGATTGGCATTAGTTACTAAGAAAAAAAAAGACAAATCAATTTTCTAAAGTATAGTTTCGATGGTTCTGATGTCTAAAATGTGAGAATTTACTGCTTTTCCATGTTTTACATTAGAGAAGGTTGAATTTTTTGGGGTTTGGGGCTTTTGGTCAAACTAAGAAAACACTGTAAAGACATACTTTTGGACGATACAGTGAACATTTTTGACTGAATGATTCATTAAGAGCAGCCCTGATAAGATGGTGATCTATCAGTAGAAGTCAGTCTGTTACTACCTGCTGACACACCATCAGCCCTCCACAGGGATGTTTCAGGGACTTTTTCAGTGACAGTTTTATCTGCTGATATTAAACAAGAAAACGTTGCGGCCTGCAGAGCGTGTTGTACGTCTGCTGATAATGCCTCAGATGATTACCACATCAGAACCTTGTGTTTTTATCTAATGATGGTTACAAGATCGTTTGGGTTATCACGGCAAGATCTCAAGATAATCATTCTTTTATCACAGAGAAAACAAACCTTGTTATGTCGAGTTAAAGACAGAATCATGCCGTGATTACCACTAGAATAAAACGGAGGTTCAGCTCCTTTCAGACAGTCTCAGTAAAAGGTGACTCTTTAACAGAATCTTCACAACCATGTAAATAACCTGACTTATGATTCTGCAGAGCCCAGCACGCCACTGAAAGGACAAACTCATTCCTGCTCGTGAATTATTAAACTGTTTTGTCACACTAATAATTTGTGAGTACAAATGAATAGAACATAAAACAACAAACAATTTGACATTTTAAAGGCAAAATCTGAACTATATATCCATGTATCTGTCCCTCAATCCAAACAAAGCTGCACTCAACCCCAGCAGCTCGTTCAGGTCAGACTGTCCATGATCCTGATCACTCTGAATTATTATTTGACACCTTTTACCAAACGTGTTCATTTCATTTACCATTATGTTTGCTTAATTGTTGGGCACAAATTCAGTAATATAAGAACATTCATTATTCAATTTTTTCTTAATTACCGCTTTTGTAGGATTCAATTATCAGCTACACAATGAAAGTATTGATTTACATTGCACTGATTCAGAGGTATTGATTTCTGTAGTGTTTCAAATTAAAGCTGTTAAAATAAAAAGGAAGTAGTGTGAAACATGCACTTCACAATCAGCTGTTCTGTTTTTTATTTTATTTGACCGCAGTTTCCAGACACAGCTACCTTACCAGCAGTTTTAGCCTGTGCTGAACCAGTCTGTAAAGAATATGTAATGCATCACACATACTGTGCTGTCAGTAGAGCTATAACATACAGTACAGTAAAACACTGACTGCAAGGAACAAGAATCACACCACTCATTAAAACCTTAATTCAATTCAACCAATCCTTTCTGCCCGTTACCGGTCACCAGACAGAGAGGTGTGTACAGAGTGTATGCAGCAGGAAAAAAAGCCATTTGATCAGTTTAACAGTTGTTGGGTTTTTTTGCCTTTATAAGACAGTGGAAAGTTTCACAAATGCATGGTCAGTGTCCCGAACCCCCTTTGCCACCAAGACAATAAATATTGATATTTGATTTATAATTTCGGTCATTTATCAATAAAAACCGCCAAACATTTGCTGGTTCCAGCTTCTCAAATCAAAGGATTTGCTTGTTTAAAAAAATAATTACTGTAAATGTGGGTTGCCCTGGTAGCTCACTAGATAGAGCATGTGCCGCTTACAGTATCAAGGCTGAGTCCTCACCGCTGTGGCTCGGGTTCGAATCCGGTCCTGGGTAGTTTGCTGCATGTCAAGCCCTTGCTCGCTCCCACCTTTCCTGTCATTCTCTACTGTCATTATCCAAATAAAACGAAATGCCAATAACTAAATCAATAAAATAAATATTAATAAATAAACAAATAAAATAGTAATAATAACAACAATAATGATAATAATAGATTTGAACTTTGGGAAAATGGGACGGCTGATTTTGACATTTCATAGATTAAACAATGAACGGAAAAAAGTTGATAGCCTATATAACCAAAAAACTCCTGCAAACTCTGCAGCCTTTCCTAGTTTTGTTCTGATCTTGCAGATGTTGATGTGAATTTAAATTCAGAAAGATTAAACCCGAACTGGGGCTGCTGTGGTGCAGATGTTCAGCCAGCAGAGGACTGCGGCTGCACTGTGCAGGTGTGACTGACTGACTGAAGCTGTTACTGAAGAAGAACATGTGTGTCTCCTGTATAAATAAAGGTTTAGAAAAAATGATGCACTGACTTCATGTACCATCGCGAACATTGTTCTGGAATTTGCTCATGTTTACATTCTGCTTCGCTCTGCGAGTACACCACCTCTGCGCCGTTCCCTCGCCAGGTAATATGTCTGGGCATGACCTGAAGCCCCGCCCCTCTCTGGCATCGTGCCCGCCCGTCATCTGTGGTATGCTGCCCCGCTAGGGATGACATCACGGCCAGAGTCTTCCTCGCACTCTTCGCTCTCTCTGTGTCTGCTTATTGAATTAAGATGAGGGGGCGCCGAGAGATGAGTTTAGCACCTGAGCCTCGCCGGGGCCGAGGGAAATTGATTTCACACTTTAAAGAGGCACAGAGGGGCCGTCTCACTATCTCTGTGGGCTCTGAGCCTCCGTGTGTGTGTGTGTGTG